GCTCCTATTTTAATTAAAACTACTCTGGAAACCAAATAATTCCAAAATCCTCATTTTGTCCTAACTAAGGTTGGCAAAGAGTATAGTGGCAAACAAGCAATTTTCTGAAGTTAGCATAATCTCGCTCTGCATAATACAAATGAATTAATTGACAAATTACGTATAAACTTAAACATAATAAAAAGACGCACCCCTAAAGAAACTTGCGAGTTAAGTTTGCTAAACACGCGACAATGTTGCCTGAGCTCAATTGGAAATATTAAGTGAAAAAGATAGGTTTCTCTGCCCTTCTAGGTTAGGGCCTGCTTCATTGTCCCAGCCCTTATTTATTGGTGTAATGCTGCTAGCTGGTGTTTCTAGACTGATTGTTTTCTGTATATTAGACATTCAGCGGTGTTACTGAGATTTTTAGACTAGTTATCTCTATATGCACACTGTTGCGTATATTTTAGTGTGTACAGCTAAGTCCGTTAGATGTATTTTTCCATATTTTGTTGATTTTTTGGCCATTTATTAAAATAAGTTCAGTTTGTTTTGGCGCTTTAATCTTAGGTAGCATATATTTGCTTAGCAATGCTTCGTTTATTGTTTTATTAATGCTACTCTTCACAAAGTTTCGTTGCTTTGGTATATTGGTATATAGGAGTTAAAACTTCTGCGCTTTCAGTAAATTGCTCAGTTGCGAATATTCCCTGCCTAAATTTGTACTGATTTGAATCAGTATTCACTATTGGTTATCAAAAGTCACATCAGTTTTTGTAGGAATAAGTTCTAAAGTTCAAAAATATTTCAGATCTTTGCCTTTTTGTATGATAATATCTGGGTAATCTTCTATATTATTAATTTCCATTTTACTGAAAATGAAGGAGTGTTATTGTATTTTCAAGAGTTATGGTAAGGTATGGTGTGCTTACTTTTAAGTTGCAAATTTCTGGTGCATTTCATGGGAGTAAGTGGATGTTTGTATTTGTTTTTTGAATAATCATATTGGGGTTTTTAGTATCATATTTTGCTGTTCATTTCAAGTAATAGGTTTAATGTCGGTTTTACCTGGATGGCCCTTTTCTCTTCTTTGTCTTTTTTATCTACTCGTGCCTGCATAGTATCATTAAACATTTCTTTCATTTGCTATACTAGTTTCAATAAGTTGGGTTTTAAATTCCGGTTTCGAAAGGGACTACTTTGTGTCTTAGCCATTGTACCATCGCCATGTGAACTGGCCTTTGGCCCATACTAGCAGTCTCGAGCCCTTCTGTATGTTGAATATATGTATATATATATATATATATATATATATATATATTCTGCCTGGGTATTATAACATATTTTGCCTTTGGGAAAGTCTCGGGGTACTACACTAGTAGTAGCATGTTTTCTAGAAGTGTGAGTGTTTGTTTTCGGTTTGCTTGTTTTTATTTATTTATTAGGAAATGCGGTATTTGAAGGGTAAATATCCTCAGCTCATTATTATGCCTTTGGTAACTCCCAATTCAGTTTCGTTTGTGTATTATTATTTGTAGTTTTATTGAGCAGTTTTTCCTCTGCAAATGTACAGGCAAAAAATTATTCAAAACTGTGTTATCAATAGCTAAATTAGCTCAGACATGTAATGTGGTTTCAAAAAGCCTAGTGCTGCCCGTAAGGTAACTCGGCTAGGCTTTAGTAGTTTTTCAACAGCAGTGTCAAACGAGGAATATTGAGTCTGCTTCTCACAGGTGAATAATTCCTTTTGGTACCAATGCGCAACCTATTTTCAAAAAAATGTTTGCTTGTTTTGTCATTAATGACACAAATCAAGCTGCTGTACGCTCGTGTTGGACTTGATATCCAATGCATCTGGTGTACCAATTAGTTTACTGATTTTGATTTTATTTAAATTTTAAGAGAGCGGAGGATTTTGGTTTATTCTCACTTTTGTAGTAGTTATAATACAAATTATATCCGAAAATCTCCTAAGTTGGTAAAGTATTGAGAATTAGTCTTCTCGGATTGGAAGATATGGTCGTTTGACATTGCCTCATTTATGGTAGATACATACAACTTAGATGTAAGGTTTTCGATTTATTTAATTTTCGGTTGGAAGTGTATCTGAAAATATTCTTTATTGTTTAGAGGTCGAGCGATGCAAATGAAAAACCATTTTGTGAGGTTTCCTTGTCGTGTTTTTGTGTGTTATATTTGGGACGTGTATTATATTTGATCTTACGGAGCTGTAAATATATTTTAATTGGTTGTTCTCCTAGAAGTTTGTGTTTTTGTGGGTATCTATTGTTTTCTACTTGTAGTCTTCGTAAGACAAACCATTTTGCAAATCATTTTTACTGATTGACAAGCAGAAATCAGTATAATTTCGTTGCTTGTATTAAAGATTAAGTGTTGCAGTAAAATGATTTGTGACGTATATGAGATTCTTCATTAATTTATTTCGTAATCATATCTACGTTCTTATCTAAAATAGTTTGGAAGAGAGTGATTGCTTTTTGTTGAGAAGGATATCCAGCCTAATAATTTACTCTTGTTATAATATTGTGTGTTTGGTTGGATGTTGTTGAGTTCGCTAAGTCATGTCTACGTTCTGTAAACAAAACTTTTTAAGCGCTGCATTTTTAGGGCTGTCCTTGGTCATTCTATGGTACTTGGGACCTTATTGTAGTATTCAGTCAATTTGTGGATGAAAGCTAATTTTAACATAGCCTCACACTTAGAACGGCCCTCTCGATCGCTATTGAGATAGGCCATGAAAAATTAACTTTTGTAAAATAGACATTGGCCACTAATATTATGCTTAGATGTAATAAAATTACTCCTTTCGTGTGACGATAGCTTATTATACCACTTAAGTGGCCATTTTTGATATCATTTGCACGTACTTTATTCCATTTATTATATTACACTAAAAAACATCAAGTAGTATGGGTAAAATTAAATTTAGATGTAATCGCCAAGCTTTTAAGCTGTTGTAAACTATTGTGTCAGCTATGGTTGGGTTAATTTTATGTGCACTCAGAGTTGACCTTATTACTAGCGTTTTTGATTGTTTGTCCAACGAGACCATAAATGTGGTAGGACAACATGAATACTGTATTTCAGAATAATCAGATGGTAGTTATGGATCCGTTGTGGCCAGGGACTGGTCTTTAGTGAATACACCTAGTGCTGTGATTCAAAAGAAACCTATTCATTCACTGGTAGCAAATGTAGATGCAACTCATTTTTCCTCTGTGCCATCATCAAATTTAATGATAAATGCTATTTCAGGACAACCATATTGTTTGTTTATCATATCCTAATAAGCACGGTTCTTTTGTAGGATATTGTGCTGAATTGAACAGTGTGAATCACGGTTTGATGTACATTATTATTGAAGTTGTTAAGTCAATTTAACGTTAAAAATTTTTAAATGCTTAGTATTTATTTTTTAATAATTTTTTTATGCTAAAGATAGTTCACACCAAGCAAAATTTGTGTGTTGGAGTTGTTATTCATGTGATATCCTTGCATTATTGTTCTCTATAAGCAATCGCAACATCAATTGCTTTCCTTGATTCGTGTTTTGATGCATGGATTTAGCTGACACATTTTACTCTTGTTAAATGTGTTAAGTACTTACTTCTGTATTGGTGCTTAAATCCAGTTAAAGTGTTATCTTTATGGGCAAATTAGTAAGTTCAAGGTTGCCTGGTGTCTGATTTAAATTTTTTGCGTATTTTTCTTTCTTAAATGTAGTAGAGATATAGTAGAATCTTATGAAAGTTAGGCAAAGGGGGATTGTGTGTGTAGTCATAGTAAAGACTGACATTTGGCTTTTTGGTTTAAGTTTACTTGCTAATATACGGTACGTTACTACAGTAGGTTCAAGCACTCTAATTTGACAAGTTTAGTGTGGATAGTTGCCAATTTTCTTTAAGGTTGGACGTAATTATAATTTTACGCCCCTGCCTCCACCCTCTTTTTAAAAAAATACTGCTGTTGATTTCAATTCCTTGGGACTATTTGACTTATGCCTTATTACCACGCACTGTGAGGTGACACCCCCAACACCAACTTCTTCCATTTGATCCAATCGAGTTTTGGGCTTACCTTATGTCCGCCCTTGAAGCCACCACCGAAACTTCGCTCCCTTGCTCCATATCGAGCAACATCAGCTCTCCATAACGTATGCTACGATTACAAATTGAGTCACTTTGAGGCGCTGAGAGCCGTTTATGGCTGTTTTATTTAATACTTCTCCACTTTTTGATGGTACTTTACCATGTGGTTGACCTACATCTACAATAACTCGTCACATCTGGCACATTTATGTTCAGTTACTTTAAGCTTGCTCTCAAATGCCGGTTGGATGTTTAATTGTAATTCAAACTGGTTTATTCTGCAAAGCAGGTTTTCTTTGGTTTTAAAACTACTAAAGTATTATTCACAACTCAGGGTAAGTTGTGAAATATAGTAATTTCCATGTATTTCTAAGAAGGTTGCCCTATTTTTTTGACTTTACAAGTGTATTTTATGGTCAGTAAAGATTGGATTTTTCAACAAAATAATTGCACGTAAAACTGACAAGGCATTTTGCGACAACTCAGCATATTATGTTTCTTTCCAGTAATTGTCGCAAAACAAAAGTTCTTCTTTTACTTCTGCCTTTTTGATAACTTTGCTTCATAGGCTCACTAATTTTTTGGTATTTAGGTGAAATAGCTTCAATCTGCAGCCAAGCACAACAGAAAATGCACATTGAAATTCTTCTTTCGGTGCTATATAGCATTAAACTTCATAGGTAAGGAACACGAAAGTAGCAGCTGCGAATGGCTCTCCAGACAGCGTATTTGCATAATTTTTTTACTTTTTACCATGGCAATATTGCCGACTCTTGTCCCTTATTAATATCCTTGTGTTTGATTAGCAGATTTCATGTCCAAGGTTTACCAAAATTGCGTTAATAAGATTACATTTTTGGATGCTGTTCCCTGATATATTACAAATATCCATTTCATACTTGTAAAACCATGAATTTACTTAATTTATTGGTAGCTTTAAACTTTACAACTGTAATTTTCGACTATTTGATTCTAAATACAATCAATCCAAATAACAGGCAGGAGACAACCGAAATTTCTTGCATGGAGCAATACGAGTTCCTAAGGTCTCTTGCGAATGAAAGCGTAAGCTTGGTAGATTTTTACTAGAGAAATTAGTCGCATTAAAACAATAAGGCAATATTTAAAAAGAAATCCGATGATAGATTGAAGTAAACTTTTGATGGCGTCAGTCTCGTCCGTAATGACTCATGAAAAATGTTGATATACCTAATCCTGCATCATTGATATGTTTTCTGTTGTGGAAATTGAACAAGACAGGCCCTTCTATCATATCACCAGAAACAATCACACCGTAGAAACTGGGGCAGACTACCACACCTGACCACAATAAGTTAAGATTGTTTTAAGCTGAAGGTGTTTTTAACAAGAGGTATTGGGATCTTGTGAACTCCATCATTATGTACGATGGCATCTGAGCATAGCATTTTATCACCTCTGCATTAAAATAATGATAATAAACAAAATCTTCACTCAAAGAAAGGGCAGAGTTGCTTTATGAAGAAAAACATAGGTCTGCTTATCAGCAAACAGAGTAAACGTGGTGACATTTGGCACATTCAACAGTTGCCTGACTTTGTCAGCGTTTGCATGACTCTATGAAAGGCTTATTTTAAAAAGCAGGTATCTTTATTCAGGAAGGAAAACAAATGCACTGGACTGCATAAATGTCCAAAAAGCTTGCCACGCATCTCTTGTGTTTTACAAAAAACATTATAACATGCCTGCCGGTTCTTATGCCTAGTACAAAAACTAAGCCATTTCTGAAGCATTTAGTTATGAACATATTTGATATATGAAGGATATGGTGATTTGTTTGCTTCTTTGCAAAATGTGTGTATCATGTTCCACCGTATGGCGCCCATTTGATTCGCAAGCAAACTTTACTCGCCTCTTAGTACTGGCCTGAAAATATTATGGTAGTCTATTCGTATATGCCGTGTGTCATCAAATCCTTTCAGCTGCTATGATTTCTTCAGTTGATGAAAAAAACGAAACTAAAACCTTCAAAGCGTAATTTTCAACCATATCAATTGGACAGTATGCATGGCCGTGATTAGAGCTTGTCGTGATTCAATAATAAAGTTAATTATTGCAGAATTTCCCAAACAGAAAGAGTCTTTGCCGGAATTATTAGAGCTGCCATCTATGTGTGAACAATATCTGCAGAAGTCTTTAACCCAACTTAATCCCCGTTTGAAAAGCGAGCGAATTTGTATTACATTCATTAGATCCAGTCGCCATTCGTGTGAGGGAGTTTTAATTAGCTACTATAAATGCGTCTCGCAATGCATGCAAGCAAAAGCTGTTACAAGTTTTCCAAGCTTTGAGGTGCTAAATAAACGTCATAGTTCCTAAACGCCCCCATAGCATTTCAACCCTAGAATAATATTCTTGTCTAAATGGGATAGATTACTAAAGAAAAAAAAAAATTAATTGCTGCCTTCAGCACTGAACGGCAAATCATTTTATGTGCAAAATCTGTATTATGGGGGTCAGTTTTTTGCCTCAAACCTAAAGTACCCTTAGAGTTTTAGTGGCTTATTTATCAAAGAGCTCAAAACGTTCC